GCTCAGAAACCAGTCTGTAATCCTGGCAGCTAGATCACCTGAACATAAAGTTCAGAGGAGAACTGGGCATCCTTCGTCAGCAGCAGGTGTGTGTGTGTGTGTGTGTGTGTGTGTGTGTGTGTGTGTGTGTGTACACAGGTGCTCATCACTTCTCTGTGCTCTTGCGTAAGTTACATCTTATACTAGTTCCCAAAGACAGAGGGAGGAAGCATATCATGGCTTCTCTCTATGCAATAGCTTGATACAAGCTGTTTTAATTTTGGATTATGGATGTTCATGCGGTTATGAGAGGTTGTTGAATCAGGAGGAGACTGGAGAATGATAAACCTGAGTACTAGTAAAATACATATAACTGCCAGTAATAGTTTTATTTTTAAAGCAGTGATATTACAAGACTGAGCTTGAAAAAACTCTGAGTTCAATCAACAAATATGTTTCTTCTCTATTCAACTTTTATACATAATGGAAACTTTGGCTATTTTATTTTTGATCCACTTTAGTTTGAGTCTGTGTTGTTGAAGTATCTTCTCTACACTTTACTAATTAATGGATTTTGAAGTCAGATTTCAAAACTTCTATATGTTACAACCTGAAGGTCAAACATTATAATTGTATTTATACATACAAAGAGTATAGAAATTTGGGGGATTATAGCTTACTCTGCCTCTGCTAAGACACTGTGACACTTTCTCTTTACAGACTAGACACAGCTGCAAACTATGAGGCTGCCTCTCCCTTAGATGATGGAAAAATGCCACTGAACTCCTCTATATCAAATTCTCTTCTCCATTGACAAATTCTCTCATTTTACATGATAATACCATCCACTTTAAAGGCCTTTAGCAGAGACAAGGCAATGCAGACAGACATAGGCATATTCAGTAGAAAGGATCTCATTTTTTTTCTGCCTGCTGGTAATCAAAATTTGTTGATTTCTGCTTCTTTCCCCATCCATTCATCCTAGCAGACAGGAGAGGAGCATGAGGAGGGAGAACCAGAGCAGCGTGTCCCAGTTCCTCCTCCTGGGGCTCCCCATCCGGCCAGAGCAATGGGGCGTGGTCTTCGCCCTGTTCCTGGGCGTGTACCTGACCACGGTGCTGGGGAACCTGCTCATCATCCTGCTCATCAGGCTGGACTGTCGCCTCCACACCCCCATGTACTTCTTCCTCAGCCACTTGGCCCTCACCGACATCTCTTTCTCATCTGTCACCGTCCCTAGGATGTTAACGAGCATGCAAACTCAGGATCAATCCATCCCCTATGCAGAGTGCATAGCACAGATGTATTTCTTCATACTTTTTACTGATCTGGACAATTTCCTTCTCACCTCAATGGCATATGATCGGTACGTGGCCATCTGTCACCCTCTGCACTACACCACCATCATGAGAGAGGGACCGTGCACCTTACTAGTCATTATATCTTGGATTCTGTCCTGTGCCAATGCCCTGGGTCACACCCTCCTCCTGATCCAGCTGTCCTTTTGTGCTGACAATGCCATCCCCCATTTCTTCTGTGACCTTGATGTCCTGCTCAGGCTCTCCTGCTCAGACACATCCCTCAATGAGCTGGCCATCTTCATAGCAGGAATGGCAGTCATTATCCTCCCACTTACATCCATCTTGATCTCTTATGGCCGCATTGGGGCCGCCATCCTGAAGGTTCCATCCACCAAGGGCATCTGCAAAGCCTTGTCCACATGTGGCTCCCACCTCTCTGTGGTAGCTCTGTATTATGGAACAATTAATTCCCTGTATTTTTTCCCATCATCCAGCAAGGCCAGCGACAAGAACATAATTGCCTCTGTGATGTACACAGTGGTGACACCACTGCTGAATCCTTTCATTTACAGCCTAAGGAACAGGGACATGAAGGGGGCCCTGGAGAAACTCTTCAACAGGGCAACAGTCTTGTCTCAATGACATTTGCTCATCTTTATAATAGACACATATATTCACAAACTCCAGATCCTACACCTATAATCTTGAGCCCAGCATGGAATAAATGCTTAGCAAATATTTGATTACTTGAATTTTATTCTGTTACAATTATTCCCTTTTCATAGAAATTCTTTAGTATGAATTAATAATTTTGAGTTGATATTATTGAATATTGTTCTTGTGTATTAGATTGAGAAATTACATAGCTCATAGAAATTACGTCTCTCTTCCTATTTCCTGGGAATCCCATTAGTTCTTTTTTTTTAAATCTCTAGTGAGGCAAAATTGACATGTAAATGTTGTGTATGTTTAAAATGTACAATTTGATGGTTTAATGTGTATACATTGTGAAATGATTACAGTTAATGAATGTATTCAGCACCTCCATGTAGTCACCATTTTATTTGTGTGTGCGTCTGGTGAGAAGACTTAATTTCAGATCTGCTCTGATGCAACCCCAGGCAACATCGCTAAGACCACCTTTGACACCATCTCCAACCCACTGATCCCACTGATTTTCCCAAAAGAAGCATCTCATAAGGTATAGAACAAAGTTTGCTACATTTTGGAAAAACATGAATGTATGATAAGGTCACAAGTTTACCGATTCTTCTGGAAGTTAATAATTAGGGACACTTCAGCTGAGTAGGTTATATTCTCCTGAAAAGTTAAAGTTAACATTACTTCTTCCAAAGTGTAAAAATAGACTTTTCTTAGAGAAGGGGAATCATAAATCCCAGAACTAGGAACTTCAGCACTTATGTTTCAGCTTTGGATACTGTATACATACATATTTTAATAATACAATAAATTATGTATTTATTGAAATATATAAGTATAATACAATATAAATAATATTTATAATGGAAATATATATAACCTATTATAAATATTATTTGTAATGAAGCCATAATATAAAGATTATATCTAACTATATATTATTTATGTTTCAATAAATTATATAAGATATGTTTTATTTATATAAAATATATATCTACATTTAAATGAATTGTGTATACATAGATATATAATTTCAACTACAACATGTATTTTAAGAGTAAAAATATGATCCTATTTCATCACAGATGGAAGGGGAAAAGTGAATCTACTAAAGAATTAGAATCACTTCGCTTCCAAAGGAAAAAAATCCACATGTATTAGATGATTATTTTTGAATCCAAGAGGCTATTTTTGAGGAAGAAGCTATAAATGAAATCAAGACAGAGCTCAGGGATACATAAAATTTAATTTATTTGTCATTAAGGATAAGAAGTTGGAATTAATATCAGAAAAAT